TCTCTCTCTCTCTCTCTCTCTCTCTCTCTCTCTCTCTCTCTCTCTCTCTCTTTTTCTCCTAACCCATCATGGAAGCCAGGCTACACCTTTCCTTATTGCTTATTTGCTTCTTAACTCTTGTTCATTCATGTCTTGCCCTCCTGTCTCTGTCTTCACAGAGGCATTTTGTTTCTGTTGTTAAAATCTTAGAATTTTTAAGTCTGGCACATAAAGAAAACTTTGTTTACATTCTGGTTGTTTTTTATACCCACACCACCAAGACTTAAGTTGAATGTAGCACACCAAGGTGGTATTTTCTTACCCACTGCATATTTTCTTACCCACTGCATATTTTCTTACCCACTCCATAAAATATGTGTTAGATAAAGTAAGGTAGAAAAGCCATATTAACATTATTTTATTTTATGTGACTTAAAACAAACTTTCCTAGTTGTCATTTATGTGTCTTGTTCATTAGTCTCCGTAACTGAACTCATAAAACCTTGTACATTTTGGGTAGTGGTCTCGTTTTATCTTCCTCAGTTACCTGAGGACACTGTTCACAGTTGGGTTCTAATGAGTTTGAAAGGTGTGCCTATTACATTATGTGTATTTTTCCCTTTATTTTCCAGCCTTTTCCTCGTTGTTCTTGTCATATCAGACATCATGGCTTTGGTAAGGCACTTACTTACATCAGTATGTCAGCTCATGAAACCAAGTTTGTTTCTGTTTAATTAGGAGAAATATGAATACATTTCTGTACATGAAATCTATATACTGAGTTTTAAGTCTTGGCAGTTTGTACAGATATATTACTTTTTATATTGCTAATGAAACTTTTTAAGCTGTGAAATTGTTTCTTATTACTTGATTTATTCAGACTGTTATTTTATTTTATACTTGCTCTTTCAGGCTGTTCTCTTCATTTGTGTTTGAAATGAGCCTTTCATAGATTAACAGAAGAAGCCAGCTTCAGATTCACTCATTTAAATATTGACTTCTGGTTCTCCAAGATTAAAAAAGAGAAAAAAGGAGTGAAGAAAGGAAAAATGAAGTGCAGCTTTGTCAACTGGGGGATGTTAATGTTAATAGCTATAATCAGTGGATTCTAAGAACTTTTAGATAATCTCATATATTGTTACTGTACCCACAGTTAGGTTTGATAATTTTCTAGAAGCCATCACTGAACTCAATGAATCCTGTTATATTCTCAGTTCTGGTTTGTGATGGTGAGATCATACAAATAAGCCACCCAAAGGAATTTCTGTTTGAATAGAATGAAGAGTTCTCCTGCTTTCTTCTAGTGGAGTGAGAGCAACATTATCCCTCAACACAGAGTAACAATACACATGGCACATTGCCAGCCTAGGCTTTCCTTTTCTTTTTAGTGCGTGTTGGTCAACATGGCACACGTAACTGATCATTAATCTCCAGTTCTTTCAAGAGGAGAGAACATACCATGTGGCTCAAAGTTCCCCTCATAAATCATATTATTAGACTGGTAACCAGGGCCACTGGCAAAATGCTTCATTATCCATTCCAAGGCCTAGAAACCACCTCCCAGTAGCTGAGAGCCATGCCTCTTTTAAGGTATGATTCATACCTGACTATATATCTGCTAAATAATTTCTCAAATCTGATTGCTGTCTACTTGATTTAGATGAGAACATTTTTATGTTTTGTTCAAATAAATATCTAGTATATTTCTCAAATTGATCACAAATAATGTTAGGACAAAATCAACATTCACAACATAACAGATAGGCAAGAACAGATGAGAATAAATGGTTCTGGTTGAGTTTGTGTGAAGAATCAGGTCACTTGGTTTAAGTCACCAAACTGTTTCTGATCCAGGTTTTTTGACTGGCTTAATTTTATATCCCTCCTTCCTTGTTTTCCTTAAACCAGCATCACTTTGAACCTATGAACTTGATCTGGGTGGACCCTTGATGTTTAGTAGATTATTCCCTTTGTCCAAAAACAACTTCCTCATCGCCTCTTCGATTATATCTTTATCTGATTCTTGCTTTTCAGTTAGATTTCACCTTCCTCTGTTCTGTATCTCTCAGTACATGCACACAAGCATTTACACAGCTCATAATTTGAATCATCATGAGATGATGTGTCTCGTGAGGAGACTATTTCTGGATGCTGTCAGTGACTATTATTAATTCATAGTTAACAGCATCACTAAATGTTTGTTGACCAGATGCTGTGACTTCAGTTGAATCTTGGGCATTTTTAATATTTTTATTGGAGTTGGGTGGTTTTATTTCTTATTATTCATAAAAATCACTTTGTATTCATTTTATTGAATCTTAATTCCATTTGTGGCATTTGGGCTACTTCTTATTTTAATACAAACAGAAGTAGCAGTTAAGTGTATATTCTTGTGGATTCTGGGTAGAAAATGATGTGTCAAATACTCATCCCTAAAACAACTTTGTTTATAGATTGAAATTAAATAGTCTTTGTTTTTAATGGGGTCATATTGTATTATCTTTTACAGCATTTTTTCTTCTTGGTCAAGGATTCTGGCAGCTGGCTTGATATTGGAACCAGGTATTGTATATAGTCTCACTATATGGGTGCCAGTATGACTTCAGACACCTACAGGAAGTGGCATAGATTTTATGACTCTGAGATGAGACACTCTGGCAGGTGTTTCCACGGGGTGCTGTGGGAGACAAGGATGGAGAGAACTGGGCAGCAGAAAGATATGACAGACCCACGAATCTGTATTCTCAAAGTAGCTCTCAGATGTCCTCATGTGCGCTTATAACCTCACAACCACTTCAGACTGCACTGTGAATTTTATGTGTTGGTTGAGATTTCATGTCATCACTATCTATCTTGTAGAAGCTCTAAGGGGACCCTATAACACACTGTCATTTAAAGCATAATCTGAGCAAGTTTCTTCTCTTTCCAATGATCTGTTCAAGTTCTTTTTCCTGAGAAGAAGAAAGCAAAGTTGATCCTCTCACCTTTCTACCCCGCAAAATGGATTCTGAGACAGAATATGCTTTTATAAACCATTTTATTTCATTTAGTTAATATTCAGTCACACTTTAGGCTTCGGGGAATATGTGTGGTTTTATGTAAGACTGTGCATTAGACATTTCTCTAAAAGCTCCCTGCTTGTATCTGCTTTTCCAGATACATTGACTGCCCTCAGACCTGGGATCTGATGGGAATCTACATAGTCATCTGGGCCTAATGGCAGTTTCTAATGCATATATGAGCAACACTAATTGAATTTAGTGGGTCATGAAAAGAAAGGCAATTTGAATTTAGGAGAGAGAGATGGGGAGAAGAGAAGATTAGAAGAAGGGAAATGTGGATATATGTGATCATATTTCATTGTATACAAATATGAAAAGATCAAAAAAGCCTGGCATAGTAACGTATGTCTATAATCCCAATGATGGGGAGGCAGAGCATGAAGATCCCTGGGACTTGCTGTGCAGCTAATCTTACGGAATCCATATGTTCCAGGTTCTGTGTGAGACTCTGTCTGAAAAAGCACAGTGGAGAACAATAAAGACATTCAGAACCAGCCTCTGACCTCTGCACATACTCACACATATATACACACATACCCACATGTATATGAACATGTGTACATGCATACCACATACACAGAGACAGTCACGAGGAGGGGAGATACACATAGCCACTAAATTTCTAGGTATTTATCTAAGAGAAGGAAAAATGTACACAGAATGATTGATTTGTATAGGAATTTTTATAGCAACTTCATTCATACCACACTGTGTTTGTGAGCACATGAATGGGTAAATAGATCCTGCTGCATCTAAACAGTAGACAGCTACTACTTGCCAGTGAATGAAAGTAACAAGATAGGTAGGTATACAGTGTATATAAAATTCCAATCCATAGTTCTAGAAAGCTAATCAATAGCTGTGGAGGTCTGAGGAATGTGGGGTTGACACAGAAGAGCAAGTGGGAGCTTCTGTGGGGATGGACATCTTCCAGATGTCTTGATAAAGGTGATGGTCACGTGGGTCACCTGGGTGTGCCATTTGTCAAAACTCAGCTCACTGGGCACTTAAAATTGTTCTATTTGTTTACATGGAACTCTACCTCAAACTCAACTGATAAAGAATAACAGAGCTAAGATGTCCATCTGAAGTGGAGATGAGCATGACATAATATAAGTTAAGCTCATTGATGGTCAAGGACCAGAAGCATGGCAATGCTAATTCATGCTAGGAAGCTCACTGCCTGCTAGAAGATCTACAGAGAACTGGAGCTGCTATTAGAAGTGAGAAAGAAGGAATGAGATCTGTACTGTCCACTGGGCTGTCTCTTGTTCTGCTTCCTGCTACTCATTTCCTGCTAGAAATAAAGCAGAGAGCATTTCACTGGCAGTAGAGTCAGGAAGCAGGGATCCGTGTCTGCACCACTCTTTGAAGCTTGATTAGAAAGGGAAGAGGGCATAGGTGCAGCATTTACATGGGGATACCTTCACACCTCTATGTTAGGAGATTGTATTTTCGTTTCGTATAGTAAGGGATGTGAGCAATACTATAGTTGGAAGGAGTGAACATCCCTGAGTTCATCCAGTGCGATCATCTGGTTTTCTTTGCTTTATGTTTAAAAACCACTTATGAGTGAGTACATGTGATAATTGTCTTTCTGTGTCTGGGTTACCTCACTCAAAAGGATGTTTTCTAGTTCCATCCATTTTCCTGCAAAATTCAAGATGTCATTATTTTTTTTTCTGCAGTGTAGTACTCCATTGTGTAAATGTACCACATTTTCCTTATCCATTCTTTGGTCAAGAGGCATTTAGGTTGTTTCCAGGATCTAGCTATGACAAACAATGCTGCTATGAATGTAGCTGAGCACATGTCCTTGTGACACAACAGAGCATCCTTTAGATATATACCCAAAAGTGGCATTACTGGGTCTTGAGGAAGGTTGTTTCCTAATTTTCTGAGAAATTGCCACACTGACATACAGAGGGGCTGTACCAGCTTGCATTCCCACCAGCAATGCAGGAGTGTTCCCTTTATCCCACATCCTCTCCAGCATAAGTTGTCATCAGTGTTTTTGATCTTGTCCATTCTTATAGGTGTAAGATGGAATCTCAGAGTTGTTTTTGATTTATATTTCTCTCTGATGACTAAGGATGTTGAGCATTTCCTTAAGTGTCTTTCAGCCATTTTAGATTTCTCTGTTGAGAGTTTTCTGCTTAGGTCTGCACTCCATTTTTTTTATTGGATTATGTGTTCTTTTGATGACCAATTTTTTGAGTTCTTTGTATATTTTGGAGATCAGACCTCTGTCTGATGTGGAGTTAGTGAAGATTTTTTTCCCATTCTGTAGGCTGTTGTTTTGTCTTGTTGACTGTGTCCTTTGCTTTACAGCTTCAAGAGGTCCCCTTTATTAATTGTTTCAGTGTCTGTGCTGCTGGGGTTATATTTAGGAAGTGATCTCCTGTGCCAATGCGTCCAAGTGTACTTCCACTTTCTCTTCTATAAGGTTTAATATATTTTTAACACATTAAATACGTAAATACATAGTGATTGATCTCATGACATTTTTATAGTGTATATTTTGATCATATTCACACCCCCATTCCCTTTCCTAGCCTCTTCCATCCCCACTTAAGAGAACTATATTTAAAGTTATGATCCAGATATATTTGGAGAGAGGTGAAGAAAGTCAGAATCAGTTTGATTGAGCTGAAGCTGGTTCTCTCTGATAGTGGTGTTCATTTGTTTTTTTTTCTTATGCACACTATTGTTATACCACATTAAAATACAAATGACAACTAGAATATTTATCAGAAGGAAAACTCATAGTCCCGTTCAATCACCTTTGACTATCCAAAATTTGATCATCATAAAATAATCTCTACTCTTAGAGTGACTATCAAATCATATTCAAACATTGATTCACAACATTTCTTGCCCTAGTACCTCTAAAATATATGACCGGCTTTTGTCGCTCATCACTTTCATGGAAAAGAATGCAATCAAGCCTTTATCATTCATTTGGTGAGTTGAAAAGACTATAAGGCAAATCCTGGATGCTGTTCTACCACATACACTTCCACCTCTGCACCACACATGCACATACACACACACACACACACACACACACACACACATACACACCTGCACAATAACTGATCTCCATGTGAGCATTGTGGTAGAGAGAGACTGCAAAAGGCTGAAATCATTTGAAGTTGATGTTTACAGTTGTTTTAATACTGCTAATGCCTAGAAGACAGGACTTGATTGACTCGGAATATCCCTGCTAGTTGCCTGATGGTGCAGTTGTGTGGATGATGAGCTTCATCTCTGCTTCCTACCACCAATGGTGTTAGCTTGAACAAGCAGCACGTCTGTCATTCCAGGCCATAGGGAGAAGGCTAGTGATCCATGGACTGAGTCGATTTTATAGATGGGCTTTTCATTACACTAAAAGATAGAACACTTAACTGTTTACATTTTTGTTAAGAGATCCTGTTTAATTTGATATTTTGACCTAAAAATCTGATAGCAGATTTTAAGAAAACTACAATATGGTGACATTGTAGTTCTTTTGTTCTCATTCCCTCATTTTCCAACTGTCCCCTTTCCTTTTATTGTAGGATAATTTGCATATCATAATATTCATCAATCTTAAAGCTTTAAGTTAAGTGACTGCTATAAATAATTTAAATTTTGAAAATTTTAGAGTTCTGCAACTGATCAGGATATAGTTTCTTAAAACATTTACATCACTGTAGCATCCCCTTGAGGCTGGTGATACAGTCCTCTCTTTTCCCATAAACATTCCCAGACAATGATAGTCTTCTTCTGTCTTCGTGGGTTTATATTAGGTCTAGATGTTTCTATAACCAGAATAATAAAATGTTGTTATATCTGAATTTTTCCACTTTATTTTTGCATTCATTTATAATGTTACCTACCAATACTTTGTTCTTTTTTTTGCTGAAGAGTATTCCACTATACTAACATACCATGTTCTGTTTTTCTTTCGTAGAACATCCTTGTTATAAGAACATCATAGTTCTCATAGTTTTTTGTTTTGTTTTGTTTTGCTCTTTTTTATGCAGAGTTAACTCCTCTCATTTCCCTTCTCCTCCCCCCCTTCACCCTCCCCTTCCCTCTCCAGTCCAAAGAGCAGTCAGGGTTCCCTGCCCTGTGGGAAGTCCAAGGTCCTCCCCACTCCATCCAGGTCTAGGAAGGTGAGCATCCAAACAAACCAGGCTCCCACAAGCCAGTCCATGCAGTAGAATCAAAACCCAGTGCCATTGTCCTTGGCTTCTCAGTCAACCCTCATTGTTAGTCACGTTCAGAGAGTCCAGTTTGATCACATGCTCCTTGAGTCCCAGTCCAGCTGGCCTTGGTGAGCTCCCATCAGATCAGCCCCGCCATCTCAGTGGGTGGACGCACCCTTCGCATCCTGACTTCCTTGCTCATGTTCTCCCTCCTTCTGCTCCTCATTTGGACCTTGGGAGCTCAGTCCAGTGCTCCAATGTGGGTCTCTGTCTCTATCTCCATCTATCGCCAGATGAAGGTTCT